CCAGCCATAGTCCAGCACCACCACCTACCCGGTCAGGACCTCTCCCTCCTCCTCCAAATGAGAGACCACCAGCTCTTGGAAGGAACCAGTCATCAGTACGCTCGGGTAAAAAAGAGCTCACCTGTTAATTGAACTATGAATTACTGCAGCATTCTAATTTTATATTAGACATATTTATGATATAGCATGCCCATTAACATCAAAAGTTACTGGATTTTATGCCACTTTGGATCATTTAACATCCTATTGTTTTTTTCTCCCGCTCCAAAGGCCCTCTACCTCCTCCACCTCCTGCAGGTCGACCTATGGGACGGCCAGGCCCAGAGCCCCCTCGTGGTGGACCCGGAGGCAGGCCTCCCCTTCCTCCTGACAGGCCGGGAACAGGAGGTGGGTTTCCTCCACCACCACCCATGGGGAATGGTTTCCAAAACCACAACCAAATACAAGGTGAGAAAAACCTTTAATATGTCATTAAGGTTTATTTGAGTAGTCTATAAAATAATTTTGCTACTTTATGGCAAGAAGATGCAAAAATAAAGAGGAAAATAGCACTGAAGTATGTCGAGTCTGTTTAAGGAACAACAATAAAATCCTAAAACCAGCACGTAAGCCCATGTGTACCAGTGGTTACTTTCCAAACAGAAGAGGCTAACTCTGACTTCTAAAGGACTTTTTCAGACGATATCCTTCAGCACTGTTTTTAAGACGTAAAGTCTGTTATGTTCAGTTATGGCAAAAGAACTCACTCACCTCCGCTGGAGTTGTTTTTACTCCTTTAACCAAAGTAGTAAGATTGTAAAACGAGTTTACAGGGATCCATTTTTTAAAATTACATTTTTAGTCATGTTTCATCCAATTCTAAACAAATACAATATCCTTTATACATATACTGTCATAAAGCTAAGTCATTCTCCTGGAGAAATTAACACTGACACCTTCATTCTTTCCATTAATAGATGAGTGGGAGGGTCGGTTCAATTTTCACCCAGTGTCAGACCTTCCTCCACCTGAGCCCTATGTGCACTCCCAGAAGACCTACCCCAGTAAGCTTGGCAAAAATGAAAGCAAAGGTGAGTTCTGCATGTTATCTGCACTCAGCATCGTTAGATGATCTTCATGCAGTTTTCAGTTTGCTTAGTAACCTGTTAAAGACACTGACAGACCAGTGCATAACATTACATATTTTAACATTACTTTGGACATGAGCCACTTGATCCACAGTCCTTTACAGCACAAAAAACATCAGAAAAAAGGAAAGAATACATCCATCCATCCATCCATCCATCCATTCGCTACCGCTTATCCTTTTCAGGGTCGCGGGGGGCGCTGGAGCCTATCCCAGCTGTCATAGGGAAAGAATACAAAACAGGAAAAAGTGATGCTGATTATAACATTACAAATTAACGATATATTATTGATTTAATATATTCAATGTGAGATTATAATCAAAGCAAAGTAGTTTATCAGCATTCCTTTTTGGTTTGTAAATTACTTCTGATGAACTGACATCTGACATTGTAGCTCCTCATTTCAGCCCAGGCCACGTTCTGGTATCAGTCCTAATTGTGTTGTCTGTGGCCTATTACTACTAGCCTCAACATTAATTTATCTCTCTTATAATCGTCTGCAGTACTTTTCCGACGTTTGACAATAACTCCCATTTGACTCCCAACATCAAAGTTTGCTGTCCCTCCCAGTTCATTACTTTGCTTTTGTAATCTTCTTTTCAACAATCAATCAATGTCCCAACTGTAAAATGTCACAACATTCAGTTTAGTTCTGTTAAGTCTTTCTGGCTATAATCAGACTACCCTACAATCTTTAAGCATTTGTGCACCATTAAATTAAAAATATTGAACTCACTAAAGATTTTGGTTGATATTTACATTATATTAGTCCAAACTTCCAAACAAGTGGGAAAACTGTTGATCTGGCTTGTCAGACACTGCCATCTGGTGGAGGAAAACATGCTCTGTTACTAAAGAAAGCACTAACTTTCTGTGTCTTTGATTCTTTGCAGGTTCTGGTAAAAAGGAAAGAGGAGCACCTCCTCTTCCTCCTATACCCAGGTGAAGATAAGATGGAAGCTATCGCAACACTTGGAACTACCCCCTTTGTCTACCTGCCCTATTTGTCTTTTTTGTTGCGCTCATTGTGCTTTGACCTGCAGCATGTAGTTCAAGTAAGAACTGCAACATGTAAGATGGACCTGAAATACAGTTGTCCAAAAAAAGGACAAACTCACAATGTGGAGTTTACATCATGTGCCTCTGTAACAGCAGAATGACACATTAAATGACCAAAGCATGTTTATATTTTGGTACATTTTGTCTAGGTTTACAACCATGCTGTTTTATTTGGGTGTCCTGAGTCATAGCTGCCTCATGAGCAACAGTGGTTTCATGACCCTTTATGCACATCGACTTTATTCCAATAACTTATTTAGTCTTTGCTTCCAATGTTTGGATTGCATAAACTGCTTGCTAGTTATTCCATTCTTATCGACCAACCAGTTACACTTTTGAAAAGGAATAGAAAAGCATACTTGACAAATGTGGCATGTAGCACATGTGACTTTCTGGGACTATTTATGGATTAAAACGGATTAAAAATCTTATGACTATATTTTAGTTCCAGGATTGTTGTGTAGTGCAAGGCTTCTTATGCAATCAGTCATCTTATACAAGTGTTGAAAAGCTGCAAGCTGTTATTTTATGAACCAGTGTTTCCCTAGTGCCTTTTCTATTCATGATTATACTTAAGGTTACTTAAAGGAATTAGCTAGGGATGCCTTTTGTGCCTTATGATGCTTATGCCTCATCTATTTGTTAAGTTGGAACAACTCTGGTGATGTCAGTGTTGAAACAGAAGCATTGACTACCAGATCATTTAGAACAGAGGTTTTCAAAGTGGGGTTCAGGAACCTTAGGGAGTCCACAACTTAAAGGTCCACAAAATAATTTTCTTTAAAGAATGTGGTATGACTGAAAATTGCATACGTACATACAGGGACCATTGGCGCAACTACAAAAAGCATCATTCCCACATTATCAATAAAACAGTTAGAACATCAGTACTATATCAGCGTGTCATACTTACATAGACCTAGACATGGAACCAAAGTGTAAAAGGCCTTAACTTCCAGGCTCCACTGCAGAAAACACATCAGGGGGAACATGAATGTCTAATTTGCCAAAACCACATGTGCCTTAACAATGTGCATCTGTGTGTTTCTGTTGGAGCCACTGAATGGTACTTTTTTTTTGTTTGTTTGTCTTTTACAGTTATGTGTAACATGAGCTTGCTTCTAATGTTTATGATTGAGGTGTTAAAATAAATTTTGTATGGGAATATGGCAACATAATTGAACTGATTTTTGTTTTGCATTTTTTTTTTGTTTTTTTTTTTGTTTTTTTTGTCAAAGCTCCCTTGACTTAATATGAAGGTCATGTGTTTGTATCAGTATGATTTCAACAACCAATATTGAATGATGGTATTATTTTAAGTTATGTTTAAGAACTGTGCAGTATTATGTGTTTGCTTCACAAAGCATTGCTTTAAAACTGTCCGGTATACATGATCCATCATGTAGGGATCATGTATACATGATGGATCGTACATATACAGTACATGTATGGATCGTGTATGATCCATATATATGATACATGTATGGATTTTGAAACCTACATGTCAAAAAGGAACTCTTAAAGACAATCATACACAAACTTATTTACTTTAAAACAATGCTTTATGTTCTTTGCTTGGGGGTGAAAATGGAGCGCTTTTATTCTGTTATGCATTGTAAGTAATTTGATATGACTGTACAATGATCATGTGATAAAATGGGAACGATGCATTGTAGTGGCAGGATCCAGATGAAGTGACTTTTCTTTTGTATTGCCAAATAAAAATATGCATCTTTTACATATCTGTGCAATAAAATCAGCAAATACATTCTTCTGAGTGAGATCAAAGAAGGCATTGTCTGTTTTATTGTTGTTTTGTTTTGTTTGTGTCTTCTGTAACATAATTAGGCAGAATTATAGTATGTGCAACTTTCATTATCCAGCAGTATGACTGATTATTATTTCACATTGTGTTACTGCAAGTGCAGGCTCGATCTCAATCTTTTCTTGAGCTGCAGAACTTGGGAGTCGTCTCAGACATTTTGCTCCTTTGGCATAATTTATCCCTGCTTGATGTGGTGTATCACTCAAATCACAATGTAATGTTAAGAAACCCACCCTGCTGAATTAGAGTTTAAAAAGCCCACATTACAAAACTAAAATATAAGAACTGTTTTGCAAGTATAAGATCATCCATTTTTTTCTTTCAGTTTTCAAATGTCATTATGTAATCATTTTTAGTTAGATGAAATTATGTCAGTAGACTGTGTCTGCCCCTTAACATGACTGTCACTTCCCTTAGTGATATTGAATCCACACCCCTGATGTAAACTGGATGGATTTTCATCTCCCCATCGTCTTCCCCTTATTTTTACCCCTCCTTCCTCTGAACTGATTTATGGTTTCCCATCATTTCAGTTACATACAGTCTTCTTCACGTTACTTTAATAAGTATATCACTTCTGTGACTACATACCAGTTCAAGTCTTATTGATGGACTTGAAATCCAACAGTTTTCCTTGCGCAGGCTCAGTCATACCTCCTCACATTTGCTCAGTATCATCAAGTGAAGGATTTATTCAGTAATTGCTTAAACCGTAAAGGTATGTTTATAAAATCATCACCTCTGGAACTTACAATCATTATCTGAGGCACTATTTCTTTTTTTCCACAGAAAACGTGCAACAAACATTTATAGCTGATAAACGACAAAAATACCTGCAATTTTTGCACACTTTCCCTAAATTCATTAAATCCAGCGCACATGACGCTGCGACACGCCAAACTTTTTTGAAAACCCAATCACAGTTGTGTGCTAACATACCTCGGCTCTCATTGGCTGAATCATCTGTCAGTCATTTTTCAGGGCGTTGCCACATCTCAGCAGCTGTCAGATTGTATCCAAATGACAATAACACGGAATTGCACAGCGAGCTTTTCTGCACAACGATGTTCGTCTGAAATAGAGAGGTAGGAGGTGTCGCTGTGAAACAAAGTATTTTAAACAGCACACTCAGTCAGATGTAAAGTTACCGCGCCCTCGTATTCGTTTTTAGCATTTAATTATGCTAGCGCTAACCTGCGGTAGGCAGTAGAAACGGTGCTTGTTTGGAAAATAGCATATTTTGTATCAGCGTTGGTAGACTTTAAATATTTCCGGATATTGCATTTAAAAAAAGGCACCGTGCTAACATCGCTTATAGTGACGCGGATGCGTAAATAGAGATGCTGGTAACCCTGAGACTCAACCAGTCGCTAACCTTTCATTTACATATTTGTCTAAAGCCCTTTTTAAATTCTATAGACGTGACGTTGCAATTTGCTCTTAGTCTTAGTTTACCCGCTGTTATATTTCTATGTTGCCTGTTTTTGAATCTCTCCAACCTCTGATAGTTTCCTCTCGGCGTCCTCCCTTAGTGTGCTGATATTCCTCACCTGACCTCTCTGATCACCCTGTCCCAGATCACAATGGAGACAACCAACAGCTATGTGCTAATCCATGGGAAGAACATCTCCCATAGCACTCTGACAGGGCCTGCTGCAGGACCTCACATGTCCATAGACAAGCTCTTCCCAGCTCTCCTGGAGTGCTTTGGCATCATACTGTGTGGCTATATAGCAGGCAGGTAGGTGATTGAGAATTAGACCATGTTTTTGCCCAGTTTTCCCAAAATATTGGCTGGGAAATGTAGTAAGTGCCTAGTGTAAATGTGTATTTATCCCCCCCCCACCCAGGGGTGACATCATCACAGAGAGCCAGGCTAAAGGTTTGGGGAACTTCGTATCCAAGTTTGCTCTTCCAGCGCTGCTTTTTAAAAACATGGTGCTGTTGGACTTCAGAAATGTCATATGGGCATTTCTGTGGAGTGTCTTGGTTGCTAAGGTTTGTGTCTAACCACTTGTAAGTTTGCATTATGCTGAAGATTTATAGAAAACAAAAACCTGATCATCACGCTTCTGTCCTGTGTAGGTGACAGTCTTTGTGCTGGTATGTGTGCTGACACTGATGGTGGCCAGTCCAGACAACAGATACAGCAAGGCTGGTCTGTATGCCATCTTTGCTACTCAGAGTAATGACTTCGCCCTTGGATATCCTATAGGTAAGTGCAACAAAACATTACTGTTTGCTCTTCATTCAGGGTTGGCAGTGGAGAAAGTCCTCTCATGTCAGGGAATAACACAGAGTATAAACAGGTTCGATATGAGCTACAAAGTGCTATCAAGGCTGCCAAGGAAGCATATTCCCAATAACTTAAGTGCTGCTGCTGAGATATGTGGCAGGGAATCAAAGTTTTAACTACCCATAAACAACGGAATACACACTGGTCAGGGATCCAGGACAACACCCTACTGGAAAACCATAATGACCTTTCAACGTTGATATCAAACTTCAGGTAGCACACATATAGGGTCTCAGGGCATCTCCATCCTAGACTTCCTTGCTCACAGATCACCGTTGGTGACGGTACAAAACAGCTCTGCCAAGCTTTCAGTCAACACAGCAGCCTCCCAAGGATGCCACTTCAGCACCTATGATTGTAAACCTTTGACTGTGCCTCTACTCAGAATAACAAGATCACCATAAAGTATGTAGATATGGTTATGGCACAGCCATCCTCAGCTGCATTATAGAAGAAGAGTCATGGTACAGGGGACTGGCAAACGATATAACTTGCTATAGACAGGAGAATAATTCCTCTTCTTAACATACGGAAAGCCAAAAAGCTGTCAAAATGGATCTTGATCTTTAAGAAGATAATTTTGTGAGAAAGACTGATAAATCCACCAGCAGCTGTACTGCTTTGTGCCAATGGCAATGAAGTCTATCTTAATCTTATCTAATTAAGACATAGAGAGTGTGTATATATTTCATTGCCTCTCTGTCTTCACTTTTCTAGTTGATGCTTTGTATCGAAGTACATATCCAGAATACCTCCAGTACATATACCTGGTTGCTCCTGTATCCCTCATGCTCCTCAATCCCATCGGCTTTGCTCTTTGTGAGGTGCAGAGGTGGAGACAGGCCAGCCATCCACAGCACAGTAGTCTTGGCATCCTGGGAGTTGTTGTCTTACAGGTACTAAGCATGCAGGTGTTTTGACAAGTGCATTAATACACCTGTATATCCTAAGGTTTACTTTATTTGCAAACTTTAAGGACCCAATTTGTACATTTGTAGCTGTTTCCCACTTTGATCTTTTGCACCAATTTTAGGTCTTCGAGTTTTAATTTTTTTTATTTTTTTCACTCTAGGTGTTGAAGAACCCAATAGTGTTCATGGTGATAGTGGGAATCATCTCTCACTTTGCGCTGGGCCAGCAGATCCCTGCTGTGTTGTCAGAGTTTATAGATGGTCTCGCAAACTCTTTTGGAGGGGCAGCGTTGTTTTACCTTGGCCTCACTATGGTGAGTTGCACTCTTGTGTTTGTCTATCTTTTCTTCTTCTCCTAAGGATAACCTGTTTTACTTACCATGAAGGATATCATCAGCTGCCGTCTTATTTGGCAGGTTGGTCAGCTTAGAAAATTAACCAGAGACACTGGAGTTGCCTTGATATTGCTCATCACAGCCAAACTGTAAGTGAAGCCTGAATGGAATAGTGTGAGCGTAATTGGTTTAAGGTGGCCTGAGCTAGTGGGTTTTTGTATTTGACCATATTTTGCATGGTACATATTTTTCTGTTAGTTGCCATTATTTTGTATATAATATGTAATGCAAGATACACTCTGTCTTCAAAAATACGGAAATGCATCTTTCTAAAATGGCAACAAGCCTTTAAGCTTCACCAAGAACTCTTAAAGAAAATGAACAAAATATGAAGTACAGAAGTGTTTTTAATAGTCAGTTTGGTTTTTGGTTGATTACACAGCTCCATGAGTATATTTTTGTCTGTCTCTCTCAATGTCATCCTTTCAGCTTGATAATGCCGCTGGTCTGTAAAGACATGGTGGATATTCTGGACACTGGAGTGAACAGCACGAGTGCCAATCACACAAGTTTGTCCAACTTTGCTTTCTTATATGGAGTTTTCCCAACAGCCCCCAGTGTGGCCATCTATGCTGGACACTATAACATGGAGTTAGAAGTGGTATGTTCTCTTAATGTAACAATCATACTTTAAAAAGCTGTATGAAAGGAATATTACTTTTTGTTGTTGTTGTTGTTGAAACACAAAGAGAAGAGGACTCCCTTGTGACTAAAATGTTCCATCTTTCATGCTACTGGTAATGATGGCATGGAAACCCACATGGTCGACACTTAGCCAGGTATTTTAAACTTGGTTTTTACATTCTCTCACCCCCAAATCCTGTTTGTTTGGGTTTTTTTAGGTAACGTCAGGGATGGTAATCAGTACATTCTTGTCGGCACCAATCATGTATGTGTCCGCCTGGCTATTAACAATCCCTTTAATGGACCCAACCCCCTTGGTTACAGAGCTTGAAAATGTAAGCTTCAACATCAGCATTGTCAGCCTTATAGCTCTGGTAAGTGCCTTTGAATTCACCCCAGTGCTCTGGTTGGATCAGTGGGACAGGGAAGAATTTTAAAATGATAAAGAAGAAGCACAGAAATGCTTTAACAACACCTAGAGCTTAAGCACAGGAAGTTGTGGATGATAGCTGGTGTCATGATTGATTTTCCAAATATAGACATATCAAATGATCGAGTATGATTATTTTCATTCAGGTGTGGACCATAGCGGTGATGCTGCTCAGCAGGAAATTTAACAAACTCCCTCACCTATTTGCGCTAAATCTATTCCTGGCCCAGGTCAGTCTTATTTCGAAAACATTTTTTAAAATGAGATTTCAGTGTTTAATTCAATTGATTCATTCATGAAATGTTAATTGAGAACCTTGTATACTGTAGGTACATGTTGTACCTTAAACTCTGTACTTTTCTCTATAGTTCCTAGTGTGTGTCAGTATGATCCTGTGGAATTTCTTGGTGAAACAAGAGGACAACCTGCTCGGCAAAATTCTCACCTTCACTTTGCTCTATGGGTCTCTTTACAGTACATACATTTGGACAGGTAAGTGAATACCTGTAAGTGGTTACACCTGTTTTATGAATGAAATACCCCAAAAGTCAAATGATTTGTGTTTAGCTGGTAGATGTTGGTGATTGTATTTGAATGTTTTGTTCTCTTTTTCAGGTTTAATCCCTCTCTGTCTGGCTCTGACTAACAGAGATGATCTGCTGAGACTCCGACCAGGAGTCTTCATGATTTTGGGTTGGGGGTAGGCCACCACAGAGAAATGAATAAGGATATTTTAATTGACAATAGAATAAGAGAATGAAACATTTTAAAACTTTTACTGATTGAAATGTGACTTTCTTTTTCTTTGTGGAGACAAGAAAAGAAGATCATATCAGAGAATATGATCTAAAGTCTAAGTAATAACAAAATTATTCAACCTTTCTCCACGCACAGGGTTCCTTTCCTAATGGTTGGTGGTCTTCTCATATCAGGAGAGAGGAGTGATACGATAGACTCTGCCTTCTTCTATGGCAGAGCCCAGGTTGGAACAATACCTGCTGTAACTCTACATTACACTTTCTAAAGAGTCGTTCTGAACTCTTTGTTTATTTTTGTCCAGTCTTTTTCCTTTTTTTTTCAGCTCAAGACTTTTTATTTTAAGTTCAGGTTTAATGCTGTATGTGGAGAAAACGCACTGAAATTCTTTTACCAAATTAAAGTAATATTTATAAAAAGCACACTTCAGGAATTCTAGAACAAGGTTTGTTTGGGAAGTTTAATTCATAATCTCATCAATTCTCCTCCAGATAATCAGCACTGCAGTAATTCTTGCGGTCAGCCTGGTTCTCGGTGCAATATCTTTGATGGGTCTCAGCCAGGGAGACTGGGAGCAGAGCGGCTACCAAGCCCTGAGCAGAGCTACTGTAACGGGTATCAATGATGAGGTGAGGGTCCCTGGTGGCCTGGAGGATTCACACCAACAGCAAGAGCAGACACAGATGTCAAATTCACCTGCCTGTGGTATCAACTCGGGTAACTCCATTCTTTCACTTTGTCTTTAGTTTATTCTAACTTAAACATAATCTGAGTCTGAATCTCTGTTATCTGTTGTCATTGAGTTTGTAACCAGATGATGTGCAGTAAATATGTTCATTCATTCTGTTCTGTTGCTGTGCAGACCTCCACGGTTTCTCTCCTCTCCAGCCCATACCTGATATGATAGCCAGTACACAGAGGGACCACACGAACAGCACAGGTAATAAACATACATTTCACCTCACCATTCACCGTTCAGAGTAAATTGTGACGTTTCATTAGTTTTATTATGAATTCTGTTATTTTAATTCTAACAATAAGTAAATGACACAAATTTAAATGTTTGTCTTCTGTGGTTGATTATTATGCATTTTTATAACTAAACCAAGTGTATAGCCAACAGTAGTCTGTATAATCCAATAAAGATGGTTTACAACCATAAAGTTGGCTTTGTCATCTTTACTTGGAATTCTCTTCCTCTCTAGGCCACATTGGGGCGCTGTGTGATGGGCATCAGCAAAGTACTTCCTCCTCTGAGCAGCCGCTGAATCTTCCACCACCCGGGCTTCAAACCACAGACGATAAACAGACTGTGAGACATGTTCTGCTCTGTCTGCTGCTCATTGTCAGCCTGCTAGCAGTAAGGATGAAACACTCTTTATGATTATGTGTGAGAAAATGTGTGAATGGACTGATGCTGTTGTCATCCACATTTAAATCACCATTTATATGGACATTACAAGTGTATGAAAATTGCCTTCAAACAGTGTTATCAGTTAGATGAATGAGACCTTTAAATATAATAAATCCTTTGTAGTGTTGTCTTTATCTACTTATCTATCTTGTTTATGATATAAACATCTGGATTAATATAAAAGCTGTTAATAATTAGTAACCTTATGCTACGTTGGATTACCTGTTTGTAAAAATGGAAAGTTGTAATGCATGCCATAACAATGTCCTGGTGCCTGATTGGTGAATGTTTCTGCCTAAATGAAGAACCTGTCCAGCTGTCTGTGGTGGTTGTTCAACAAAGATCCAGGAAGGCTCTACCTTGAACTACAGTTCTTCTGTGCTGTGGCTAACTATGGACAGGTATCTCATACATCAGCTTATTGTATATATGAAGTGTTGCGAGTAAAAAAAATACTATTTTCAGTTGTATCTACTACATTTTGTTTTCTTTTTTCCCCCAGGGCTTTTTGTCCTTTGGGATTTTTGGTCTGGACAGACACCTAATCATCTTGCCTTTTAAGAAGAGGTGATCTGAGACTTCATTGGGGTTTCTAAATTAATTTGTGATCAAATAAATAAAACAATACTAGAACAAGTTTTTTTTGTCTGCATTTTCTTTAGATTGCTTAGCCTGTGGCAGGGCAGGGACATTGATGATTTGAGTCCCTCGGGTGTACCAGAGGAGGTCAGGCTCACCTGTACTCAGTTTGTCCGCTACCACAAAGACCAGTGTGTACAAGACATAGTACACACACGCAGGTATGAGTACTTGTTTACATGTATTTGTGTGGGGTTTTCTTTAAGGACATTTGTGTGTGTTACATAGTACAGTTTGTGTATATGATTTGTTTTTAAATCACCCCTCACATCATCTGCTTATAGAATTTATTCCCTCTAAGCAAAATATTTTTGAAGTAAACACGGAAAACAAATTATTAGAGATCTCCGTTTTTGAGTTTGAATTCTCTCTCTTTTTTTTTTTTTATTTTTTATTTTTATTATGTTCTTGTTCAATTCTGAGCATGTCCAAATAATTACTTCTGATTTTCCAGTTTTTCTCTGAATCCTCTTTGCATGTTGCATCAGTTTCTGGGTTTCCCTCTACATCAGACTGTTATTTTTCTTAAAATCAAGTCTAACCATTTTAATTTTATACTCTGCCGTGCCTGTTTTAAAATACTGAAGATCAAATTTAGACACTCTACTACAAAACTAAAACTTTTTTTTTTACAAGTCCTGGGTGCTATCGTTCTAACACAAAATAATTTATATTATCTCTATACCTTCTCTATGCCTTATAATCCTTCCTTTGCTTTCTCTTTTATTCCTTTCATGTACCCTTCCTTTCTTTTGCCTGCCCATTCCCTCTTCTTTTCTTCACCATCACCATCATCATCATAGTGGCTCAGGGGAGAGTGTGAACACTTCGACAGGTGAATCCTTCCTCTGATACTAACAGGTTTGGGGGAGGACTGGAGGATGAAAATGAAGTTCTGAGACATTCCTCAGCCCATCAACCCCTTTACCTAAACACACATTCTAGTGATCAGGGTCAGCTAAACGATCACTCACAGATTCTTAACCGAAACCACAATCCAGATAAATCCAGCAGCCAGTGTTTGCTTCCGAGTCAACCCCACCTAGAGCCCGAGAATGAATTGCAAGCGCATATTTCCAATCCTGATGCACCAGGAACCTCCCTTGACCACGAACCCACCAATTCTCAGCATGGTAATGCTTCAAGCCCTCCCCAGTTTCATCAGTATCCCCAGTCCCATCTTGAAAATGTGTTCCGAGGCAGTGACTTAGTAGATTGGCTGGTGGAACGAGGCCTCAGCGCTGGACGAGCCGAGGCACAGCTGTATGGTGCCCGTCTTCAGCGGGGAGGAGTGTTGACAGGTCAGCACAGCTTCAAGGATGAACCCAACTTTCTTTATCACTTCACGCAGCCAAGACGGGAGGAAGAGTAGGAGGGATCAAGATGATGAAAGTGATGAACAAAGCTTTCGGCATACCAAGCGACGGCCACCATAGCTGAGTGCCAAAGCAGAAGTGCCTTATGGTGCAGCTGCTTCAAAGGCCACTTAAGGTTGAATCTGGATCATATGAGACACTCATTTGCCCACCAGAATTGGGTTATTTGTCCTTGTATATTCAGGGTGGTTCCCAGTTGAATATCAACTTATTAGCTAATCGGGAGAGAGGTTGTGCTTGCAGTTGCTTTAGAACAGGGGTGGGGAACTCCAGACCTCAAGGGCCGGTGTCCTGCAGGTTTCAGATGTGTCCTTGATCCAACACAGCTGACTCAAATGGCTAAATTACCTCTTCAACATGTCTTGAAGTACTCCAGAGGCCTGATAAGGAACTAATAATTTGATTCAGGTATGTTGACCCAGGGTGAGATCTAAACGCTGCAGGACATCGTCTCCTGAGGTCTGGATTCCCCACCCCTGTATTAGAAGGAACTTAAACAAGGAAATTGATGGTTGGGGTTAAAAAGTTAGAAAGGAGAAACGATCACTTCCGACTGTTACTTGCCTCCTTTTGGTTGTGGAAAGAGCCCTTTGGAATTTTATTATGGCTATTATATTCTTCTATTTTATTTTCATCGATTATTTTGCTCTCAGTTTTCTCACTGGAATCACTCTGAGATGTAAACAGTACAGAATCAGTCCCAATTGTAGCAGGTAAAAGTTTTATTTCCTTGATTGCTTTCTGGATATATTTTTCAAAGAAATTAACTTAAATGACCATGCTTAAATAAATAATATTTAAGATGAGCATGCACGTGGTGAGAAGACCAGAAAAGCCGTCAGTAAACTACTCAGTGACAGCCTGTGACATTTCTATCAAAGAACAATGTCATATTTTCTTTCAGGGGATATCAAAGCGTCCAGAATCTGCCTGTTAGTTCAGTTATCATTTTGCACGCTGTGTCTTTTTTACAAGCTCCAGTCTATGCTGACTGCTTGCATGACTCAGCAGTATGGACTTCTCCTCAGCAATGAGCTGTTTGCACTAACTGAATAAATACATTCTTCCCTTTTTTTTTCTTCTTTTTTTTTTAAATTATGCAACTCACTGGATAGCTGTCTCTTGGTGATGCTGCAGAGGAAGTTTGTTTTCTTTGCAACTGTAATTGTGTTGCAGCTGTTTAGTTTTAAATATTTGTTCAGGACTGATTTTGAATTCACTCATCCATGGTGGAGCACCACCTCATACGGGCTTAATTTGAGAATTCAGCCAAAATTCCTCTCATGTTCTTTGCCTTTGAGCCCAACCTACACAACAGAAGACAAAAGCACGTACAGTAGTTATTGGAATGACAAATCTGGCCATTTGAATGAAAGACAGGTAAAGCCAGAGGGCTCACGTTGTCACAGATACAGTCTTTCTTTACAAACCACTGCTAAACTGTTTACGTCTGTAAGAAAGTTCTACTACTCTGTCCATTTAAAAAGATCCTGTTCAAAATGTGTCGAGTCTACGGTAGCAAAGTCTGCGGTCACTGTAGACGGTTACGTCTTTTCATTGGCCCGGAGTCTACGGTGAACGTAGACACTCTACGCTCTGGTCCAATAGGAGTGCTGAATCCCACTGTAGACTAGCCAACATCTAATGTATTACCCCCATTTCTAGTCTTTTCAGTGGCGACACTAGAAATTTGTGTTATAAATCCAGATGCCCCTGCATGTCGTCAGCAGGCCGGGTGTTGTGAGCACAAGAAAACGATTAGAATAGAATGTGATGAAGTTTGTTTAGATGATAGGGTCCAGCTGTAAATCAGAGGAATAAGAAAGGATTTGTGAATGTGTGTGCGTGTTTTAGGCTGGTTTAGCTATAAGCCTGAGTGTGTGTGTGTAATTTGTAACTGTAATGTAAAAGTGGGGGTCTGCCTGTCATAAAAGGAAATAGGAAGCCACAGTTGGGAGATGCTAGGAATGTATGGAACAGAAACAGGAAAGAGAGGAGTTTGTTACCCTTCTTCCCGAGGTGCAGAGAGGGTACGGCATACCTCCACACATCCTGTTTTATAGGGGCCTGAGCATTTGTGTCACACACACACACATCAGCTATGTGTATCCATATATGGTAAATTGCGGCCCTGATGGTCACCGTAGACCTTGCGCTACCCTAGACTTGACTTCTCTGTGAATAGTGAATACAATCCCAGTAGTGCTCCAGACCTAGTGTGTTTCCTTTGCGTTTGGAAATCGAAGATGTGCAATTGAAAGTGGTCAAACTGGGATGTTCAAGGAGTGTCATCCTCAGGTGACATTAAAGCAGGCTTGAGCTGAATTAAAAAAAAAAAAAATTAAATGGTTGTTGGATGCAATTTTATTATTATTACTTTTTAAGTGGGCAGAGTTACAAAACTGTGTGGTTGCACTTTCGTAAATGCCTGTTACGTTGTTGCTGTTTTACACTATTGCTACTATGAAGTTTACAGTGTGTTGGCGAAGTTATAAAAGGTGGATGGAAATATATGCATGTTTAAAAAATGTCAGGGACACAGATCATGTTAATGTCAAACTAATGTTTGCTGTGATTTTTTTTTTTTTGTTGACCTACTAATGTATTTGGTCCCCATGCATATATTTCCATCTTTTGATCCTCTGCCAACAAACACCATACTGGTTCATGCAATCAACATCAGGTCCTTGTGTTTATGATGTTTGATAAAAATGTGATTCACCTTTTTTTTTAAAGAGTGCCTGCCTCAGTTAACATGAAGGTGTGTGTGTGTCTTTGTGTTTGCATGAACAAAAATGTCTGAGTGTGTATGCGCGTGTTGCAAAGCACTGAGATAAAGTAAGACATTTTAATGTCGGTCAGCAGGTTCAGTGTAACAGTGGATGTTTTTAGTGTGTTGCTTTAAGTTAGTCGGGGTCAGTGACTGTAACAGAAGGCATAAATAAAAAATGTTTGCATCTAAATTCGTTTTTACTTCATCACTAAACTCGATTATTGATTCTAATTGGAAATTCACAAGTAAAACAAAGTAAAAAACATTTTAGATTTTTATTACATTACATTACATACAACCATAGAATATAAAATGATGGATAACTCCACCATGATGTCCCATTTTGAAGCGTGTAGATGAGCCTGTAATTTCATCACTAGGCCACTTCCCATAGGCTCCCACAGTACTGAAAATCTTTTTTGCCCCATGATGGGCATTAAATAGAAGGTTTAAGTCAAAAACATTGGCTTCACTATTCAGATTTGTAAGCTAAGTCCATCATTTCTGCTGTCTATGGCTAAAACATGATGGAGGGGGGAAGAAAAGATTTTTGATCAAACAAGAGGAAAATAAAAATCCTCTTCCACCCACACAAAAAGCCCTTTAAAAATAAAGGCAGCATACTTAGCAACTCCCCAGCCCCCCATAAATGTGTAATTTCACGCTGCTGATAAAAAAACAAACAAACTTGAATTTATTTATTTATATCATGTAGCTTTGACAAAATTACAGATAAAAATAAGTTAGGCACTTTGGGTGTTTTTCACATTCACAAATCAGGGAAAGCAGGAAAAGTTCACACACTGGGAGGCTACATTATAAAATGTGATACTCTAAATCCTAAACTGTAGTATATTGTTGAATATCAAAAAACAGTACATATACATATACTCAAACAATTATCCTGAAATGAGGTTGATCATGAAATGCCTCTAAAATACACACCAGACAATTCAGATTTCTGTAAGTAAGGTTTGTCATTTTCTCAGTTAAGGTTATTTGTTGCCCCTCTGTTGCACCTAACATTTGTTTTTGTGTGTTTTCTTTCATGATATAAATAAAAAGCTAGATTTTAAGACTCCTTTCTAAAGACTTTCTTCTCTCAAACATTGACTTAATAAATAAAGAACAATTCCAGTCAAATGTAAAGTGCAACACCACACGTGTTAATAGGAGCGCATTATACGATTTTCTCATGTCTGTAGTTTAAATATTTAAAAATGACACAATAAAAGGCTGGAAAGCTGATTTTAACTCTTCACTGAATGAATTGAGTGATTTAAGTGTTTTTCTACAAGTGATTATAATGTCTCTCTTAAAAAACAACAACAAAAAAACAAGCTAGTTCATTACTGTAAATGAGTCCAGAAAAGCTCCACATTTCTGCAACATTTAGAGCATGTTGCTCTAAATTATCTTTGTTGAAACCACCATGAAACCTCACACCTCTCATGTCAGTGAAAAACAGCTTCATTAAGACACATGTGTAAATGCTTCAGGAAATACAGGTACAAAACATTTTAAAGTCCAAATATACTTTCTCCATGAAGCTTCTTTAACAGCAATGACTACCAAATTAGTTACTAAATAAACATATGTAAGAGAAATGTTAGTCTAGCTGCTCTCTTCTTTATGAATAAAATAAAGAACATTGTTAAACTAATATCTGTAAAGAGATCCAGTCCAGTGTCCATGTAATATGTTAAAGTTATTAGAAAAATAGTTACGTAGGACTTTCAGTCTAAATCTACCTTACATATTTTGTGTGTATTTTCCACCATGACAGATCCAGATCAGAGAGACAAACCCTGAATAGCAGCCAATGGAAACTTAGGGGGGGGAAAAAAGTCATTTTAAGGCACTAAAATTGATTATATTTTTGAAAGAACACCAAAATGTTGTATATCAGACACCCTTCAGTTTGCCCAGAAATGAAACTCACAGTATGACAAACATACTCATAATCATCATAAAAGCCATATCCATAAGAACTACTGAGACTGCACGGTCCGTTTCAATTATGTTTTGTTTGTTTTAGGATTTAGATTGGGATCTGTAGATGGGGAAGTTCAAAAAGTTTCTCAGGGTCATTACGCAGGGTTAAAGAAAATGACATGAAACAAGGCACTGTCGAAAAAATAAAAACCTGCAACTATTTTTAAGGTAAAATATTTTGTAAATAGATTGTTTTACCTTCTCACATGCTCTAATGTGCAGCTTTTCTTCATAATATCTGATTAATAATCTGAACATTTCTAGATTTTGGACTGCTTAGCCTTATAAAAATGCCAGTCCTGTCCTGTTTAATTAAGACAATAGGTGCAGATCATTACAGCGTATGTATTTAAACAATACGTTTAGTGTTTTAGGGCATTTAATTGCCTCTGTATTGCTGTAACAAAGGAGCCCAAGACATTTCCAGCCCCATCTCAGAAAACTTACCCCAAACCTTTAGGGAACCTTCAGTATTAAAACTTGGTGTAACATGATCAGAAGCCAAGTTCAGAACAGATCGT